GGGGGCAAAGGTTGAGCGTGAAATGGAAAGTCGAAGTCGTTAGTGGTCAGGTGGGAGGGGCCGCGCGTGCTGACGACTCTGATGGATGCGATTCAAGATTGAGCAAATCAGGACTTTTGACTGCGCGTCGCGTCGCCTTTGCCTTGCCTTGGTTGATGTGAGCTGAAGGATTCGTGATTGGAGAATCTGACTCTCTCGCATAATCTTGGACCCCAACGATTTGAATGATCGAGCGTCTTTCACTGTTCACCGCGGCGCCGTACGTGGGACTCGATCGTGGCTCGACTTTGATGGAGCGAGCGTACATGGCATGCATGCATGCAGCATATATATGCTCTCAGCCCATCACATGTTTGCGGCCCATGCATACGTCTCACGTCTCCCTCCGGCGCGCTTATTGCTGCGCCGTGCGCTGCCCCGTGCGAGGCATGCACGCACGCACGCCTTCGTTCGACCTTGAATCACAAACCTGATTTGAATGGTTTCATTCGTTGCAGATGTGATGCTGCCTTACAAGGATGTCATCGCGCGAATGTTGAGTTGTTGTAATGGCCTCGAGCGAGCGAATAAGAGCCGGATTGGCACTGCGGTGACTCAGTCTGCTGCCTACTCGTGCTTGACGAGGTCTTGCTGCAGGACGAATCTGCGCGAGACGAGGATGCGAGTCGCGAGCGCAAAAGTGAAGTGCCGCGGAGTGGGAGGCGTGAGCCATGCCGATCCGCGCACGCCATGCACTCGTACCTATGCTGCTGCTGCGGCGCTGCGACTCACCTGTAGCGAATATCGTTCTCGTGCACCCTCTTGACGGCCAAGGAGCACTGGCTCATAGGCATCACCTCGACCCAAGGTTTGATCTGCTTCTCCGCCGCCAATTTCAGCATGCTCAGCGCTTCCGTCTTGCTTCCGATGTGGGAAGATCCGAAAAAGGCGCCGTTGCCAGCGAAGGCTTGGATGCGCATCGCTTTGATCGGCTCTTCGGGCATGCCTACAAAGATCAGCTTGCCGTGCACGGATAGCGTCGATAGCGTCGCTGGCACATCGATGGCGTTGGATGAGGCTGTGGAGATGATCAGGTCGAATGCTGTGCGGACAGGGCAGGGCGTAATGCGTCGTCAGCATCGACAGTGCGCGAGACTGTGTTTGTTAGCCAGCCCCCGCTTCCCCCC